TCTGTGTGTGTGACCGGAGCAGTCGGGCCGGCCGGATTCCCAGGGCTCGGTGGCCGCTCTGCCGGACTGGAGGTCCGCTCTGGTCACACGGGGTCAGTGGTCGGACCGAGCGGCGCCGCCGACCCGTGGAGACGGCACTGCGGCTGGGGAGGGGAACTGGTTGCAAGAGACGGGACTGGTCCAGGAGTATCCGTATTGATACATGTTCATTTGTGGCATCCAACATAGTTATTTCCATTCCTGAAAAGTGAATCCGCCCTTGAATACTTTTTTCAGGGCTGCAGTACCACATCCCGCGAGTCGCAGCGCCAGAATATTACATAGTTATTGCAGTCTCTTCTGTAGCTGCACTCTAAATGTCACCGCTCGGCGGTCTGACGCCCGCGGTGACAGCCCCGCTGCCCGATACACTGTCCGATCTGTACTCACCGTCCCCGCCGGCCGTTCCTGTCACCTCGCCTGTCTATCAGGCGAAGCCGACCCGCGACCCGCCCATGTCCCTTAGCAGCGATAGCCAGACGGTCATATGGGTACCTACACAGGCAGCTCACCCTACTGTCTGGAGGAGCACCGGGTGGTGGTGCTAAATAGTCGCCATCGTTAGCGGTTCGTTACGGTCCCGAACCCGGTTTTTGTGGAGGTGGGAAGCCAGCGGGACGCTGTCTGAAGAGTCGGGAACTCCAGTCAGTCGTCGTTTCTCATTATTTCCCTCCCTCCTCCTTTCCTCCCTCCCCTCCTTTCTCTTCCCTCCCCTTTCCTTCCTCCCCTTTTCCTCCTCCCTCTCTTGCTCTGCTATTCTCTTCCCATCGTCTTTATTAGTGGTGTCAATCGGAACTTCAATCTTTGGAATTCCGATTTTGTCCAATGTCCAATTCGGAATTCGGTTGGACAATGGCCGCAGGCTTTGGACAACTTTGGACAATCGCTTGCTACACCTCAACATTTTTAAAAAGTGGTCGTGTTTAACAGTGATTGGCTATTAGAAAGCTCAGCTTTCGATATGATTAACACTTTTGAGCTTGTAACGGTACATGAAAAGCAAATGAAATAACAGTGTTGAGTGTAAACTATTGCGTAGGTGTCGGACATCTTTGGACAAATGGCTGGCTTGGACATTTTTGGACGGACAATCGACCTAAGCATTGGACATTTGACGGACTTTGGACATACGTTTTCTGAAATTGACACCACTAGTCTTTATTTTATCAAATAAATGCCTCATGTCAAAGTTTCCCACATTATATTCGATTTCGTCACATTGGTCGCTACTGTTAGTTGATCGTTTGTGTCCTCTTCCCTCTCTCCTTTCAGAAACTGTGCTGGCGTGTCCCTTGATCATACGATGTCCTTGTCCCTGTCGCACTACCCACGGTACCTCGAATCGAGAAGGACATCGCTTGCATCGTAATGATGTTTGGCGGTGTACCCTGTATGGACTCTGCGTGTCCTATGCATCACGCTGGGTATCTAATGCACCGCGATGGGGCGGTGTGTGGGATGTGGCTGGGCGGTCAGAGCCGACTGATAAAAGCAGTTCGCCAGAGGTGTGTGATGCTGTTAATGATAGCTGAACGGTGGGTGGTTATTCGAGGAGCTGCTGGCGATGCCTAGTTACTCTAGCTCTGTCTCTGGTATGCTCGTGGTTGACACCCCACGGCAGTGTGACAGTCTTTAGTGGTCTTGACATCGACTGCCTTGCGTGGCGTGGGGACCATGTGCGCTCGCTCGTTGTGTGGGCTAGTACTGGTGATAGGATGATCTCCCGGTGACCTTACCCTGATCATCTCTCTAACCGCAGAGGGCCACGGAGGCCGTTCTGCACCTAAGAACGCGGTCCGCCCGTAGTAATAGCCGGATCTGACCGTTTTTGGAGGATGCCCGGTCGTTTGACCGGCTCACGAGTAGTTGAGCACGATAGACTGGATTGCGTCGGCCTTGCAGCTTGAGTATGGTGAGATTAGGGAGAGGGTGGGGGTTAAGGCTACAATCACAATAGCTGGTACTAGAAACCTGCTGCCAAGCGTATTGCGAGCCCTGCCAGTCGCTGACAGCTGTGGTGAGGATCGCGGCATCGCCTTGACTAGAGCCCAGAAGGAGTGTTGAACGGACTCATAACCAGTGGAATGTGTCGCCATGATGCGTCCTACGCCGATCCGCCTTGGTGCTAGGCAGGAATGGACGGCTGTCTGATGGTGACATCACTACAGTGTCTGTCAGACTGTGAGGCCGCAGACTTACGTTTCACCCCCGTGCACTCACCCTATGAGTGCCATCAGCGGCTGAACAATGTGCCGTGCCGGCGGCGCGGCGTCGTACACCCACCTGTGTCGTCGGCAGGTCGGTGGGTCCTTGTCGCCCTGCCGACCCTGGCGGCCGGGCCTCTTGTCTGGGGGCGGCTGTTGGGTGCGCCCGTCCCAGCCCGGGCGGCTGGCAGGCTGCCACGGCTGTGGGCTTAGGCCGGTCTGTGCTGCTGGGGCTGCTACTGGTGATGGCGCTGGTGATGGCACTGTGCTGCGCTGGTGCTGGGTTTGGGTCTGTGATGTCTTTGGTGGAGTGCTGCGGCCGCTGCGCACAAGCATCGGCGAATGGTCGCTGCTGCGGTCAGTTGGGTCCTCCCATCCGCGGACCTGTGCGCGAGCCATCGGCTAACACGCCACGGCATTTGCTTATTTTCATCTTTGTTGGTCACGTTTAGGACTCGGCAATAGGCATTTTCTTAGGTGTGCCTTCTAGTGCTGTCTACTGGGGAACTGACTGCTTGTCATTGGGTCAGACCGCCGCACCTGCGCTGACAGCATCTTGCAATGCTGGCATGACCTGTAGTGACGTCACTTGTGATCATTGACATCTCGGAATTCTCCGCAACTGAATGTCTCCTCGGGCTGGGTGTTCCCAACCACAGGGCCAGGCGCGCCCGTTGTGACCGGTTCTGGATGGGACAATGCCCGACCGATACCCGGTCAGACTCGAACCGGGGCCGATGGTGGCTGGTGGACGAGGCCACACGGCTTCTTTGCCTGCCGTGCCACTTGACTCTGGTCCCATAGCATCACGGAACGTGCGGTATGCGCCCGGCGGCACGCGAACTGGCCACCATATAACGGCGTGCATGCTGGGAGTCATTGGAGCAATCGCGTCTTTGGCTGCCGACAGCCTACTGGCGTTTCTGTAAAAAAATCATTTTTTCTGTCTTCTGAATCATTGTTTCTCAAATTAGAATGTGATTCCACGCTGCATGTGCCCTTTCTGCGCTTTTTTAAGCACGCCCAGCCATCGCACGCATGCCTGAGTCGTTCCCCAGGGTAGCTGCCCGCCGGTATGTTGCGACGCATCACTGCATGCCGCGCTGACCTTGGCTCGTCGATTGGAAGCTCGTGGCTGCACGGCGCTACGGCAGGCGGGCCGCCGTACTGGCTGATCGGGGACCTCAGGCATACGGACAGCGAGCCTGTAAGGACAGCGAACCGCGGCGGCAGCTATGAGCTAACCACTGATTACTCTCGCAGCTGACTAGGAGACTGGGATGTTTCCATAGCGCTATGCCTTCTGCAACGGCAGCAGTGATGATATTGCAGTAATAAACGTTCTGTTAGGCAGGTTGATAGAGACTAATGCCTCTGCATGCTCGAGCTGCCCCGCATAGCTCGATGAACCTGTTTTGACATGCCGTGATGCATTGCTACTTTTTATCACCTGGCCGGGTACCTATGGCATGGCTGACCGGGCAACCAACTCACCCGTTTCTTTTGCTGGCACGTTACTGCCAATGTTGGTCCTTGGGCTTGGAAATAGGTACCGGTATGCGTCTTGTGAAAGGAAAGATGGCGCGCATGTATTGATGGACCCATGTTTTACAGCTTGCGACGTTCTTATGGCATATTATCGTACCTATATTGACCCAATACCTAAGTCAGTCTGAGCGGGGACTGTCTCGTTGTTCGTTGGAAGCCGCCGAAGGTTGGTGATAGCGACCAACTCTGGAACGAAGTCTCCGGAGTCCGGCTGAAGGGTGCCATCTCCAGGCGGTTGGATCGGGCTGTGACTGGCCCACGCGAGGGTCACGGAGAGCTGGGACTTACCTGACCAGCTGTCTGCGAGTATCTCGATCGATAATAATGGGTAGCTGCATATATGGAAGCCCTCATGGTATGCGACTACGGCTTCATACTCCAGGCGATTTCGTTCGTATCCATACGTGGATCACGACCCATGCCATGGCCTCAGTCGACCGGCTTCGCTGTGTCACATGACCCTTCCGACCCGGGCGGCCGCCAGCTGACTTTGTGTGACCTTGGCGCCGGCTGCGGCTCCGTTCAGACACGGCTGCCCGGCCGGCCTCTGCAATCGATTGCACACTGCATACGAGATCGCTCGGCGGCTGATCGGGCCCGTTTGTACCGCCCACAGGGCCGCTCCGGCGTCTGAAAGTCGCCGCAGTCGCGTATTATTAGCACATCGATGGCTGTGGTAATGTTCGGGTGCGTGCGTTCTGCCCATGCCGCCGGAGCCGACTGAATACCAATGACCTGTAACCGGCTGAGGATACGGGCCACCGTGCATGTTCATGTGTCCTTGATGGACTGACGTGCGGCGCTCGGTCCTTCAGGGAAAGTGCTCAGGCTGCTGATACAATGGCACGGGCGATACCACTCGGTACCTACAATACCGCACGAAGTCAGGTGAAGTATTTGGACTATGTTTCCAGTGGTCACTGTAAGGTGAAATAAGCATTCACGACACGGAATGACGATGTTGTGTAACCCTGTGTTCCCTGTGGGCTGACTTATCCCTGTCACTTCTTTGTTGTGATCTGGCCCGTCCACTTCTCACGGTCAGCTGTGTGCTGTACTGCTGTATGTTGGCATAGTGCCCCTGTCAACTAACCTGACCCCGTCACTGATCGTTGTGACTTGACCTCGGTGTGTCCCTGCTACTATCCTTTCTGGACGGACTGTCCCTGTCGGCTGTGACCTGACCTGCTATATTTGTCTCCTCCTCAGATCCGGCTGGAGCGGGTCCTCGGCGTCACAGTCAGCAGTAACGCCGCCGTCGATGTCTCCCCCACCGAGGGCATCGTGGCCTACCCGGCCGGGTGAGTAACAACTACCCAGTACGCAGTACCCAGTATGCGGGACACAGTCACACAATACCCAGTACACCACTTAGTGCACACAGCATTAAAAATTCAGTGATTTTGGTGTCTGTGTCAAACAGTTGTGCTAGTCCTAGATGAAAGTGCCCCGAAACTCATCTGGAAAATCACTGGAGGTCCTTAGTGACATCCCTGCCCTCTCACTGTGTTCAATCGCTGTCTGTCCCTTCCCCGACCCTCTGTCATTGCACGTCCTTGTCGGTCACTGTCAACCTATGTTATGCTACTGTCGGTCACTGTCGGTCATCTTCGGTCAGTGCCCATCAGTGTCGGGTCATCTTCGGTCACTACCCTGACGTTTGGGGTGCGGTCCATCGACCCACGCCGTTCCTTCGCCGCCGGAACGCCCCGCTGCCGCCGGTCAACGCTTAGGTGACTGTTAAACTTTTGAAGTGATGGTAGAAAGCAATGTAAATGAACTGCGAGATGTGTGCGGCACGGCAACTATACTAGAGTTGCAAAGTTTTCCCAATGGGCTGCTACCGGCACCGCCCCGCCCCACAAAAATTTTCTGGGATACCGGCATGCTACCACGCCCCAAGCAAAAAAAACCGCCAAATTACCGGCATACCGGTAATTTGGCGGTAATTTTAATACGGTTTTTGGAACTTTTACCACAAAATGTATTTTGCAGTGGCTAAGATTGCTGTTATAACAATTCAATAGCCTCTTAGTGTCCAAAGTTTGAATCATATGCTGATAATTTTTTTGTGTGCAAAATCAAAAATACCGGCATGCTACCGGCAAGACATGCCAGATACCACGAAAAAACCTGCGGTAGTGAAAAATTACCGGCATGCCGGTAGTGCGGTAGGGAAATTTTGCAACTCTAAACTATACTTGCACTGGTCTTGAGATGTGACTTCAAGCTCAAACCTAATTGAACCTTTTGTTCTGTTCTGTGTCCCGTATCATAAAATCTTAGTGTCTTGAGCGCCGTGCTATCTACGCTGGATGGGGGTACCGACGGTATTAGCTCTGGTTTGCGATCGGAGGAGCTGCGTGGGTACCGGCTGTGGACTGTGTCTTCGGAAGTGTGGTGTGAAGTGGAATGACGAGTGTGGATACGAAGAGAGATGGGCGACGATAGTGACTGGCTTTTTTAGGATGGAACTGTGGGGGACTCGGCGCCGGACTGGGCTTCTGGAGACCAGCTACAGTGACGGGAACAGACTAGACTGATGGTGAAGCCATGCAGTAGCCGGTCATTGCCCATTGAACCAGACCGGACAGCTTCCCCTTGCCGTACCTCCCGACTGCAGCTACCTTGCTGGAATAAGTTACTACGTGCAGTAGATGCCACACTGCATCACAGCCCATCCCCCTGCCGGATATGGTGCGCCAAGGCTGCGGCGGCGGCCGCTGGGACACGATACACTGCATCTGACCGCTCGCCGGCTGACCACCCATCCGGACGAGGTGATGCTGAACAGTTGCAGATCATGTCACGGAGCTTTGTTGAAGGCATCCTGAACAGATGCCAAAATGTTACACAGTGTCGCCGGAGCAGACTCTGTCGGTGTGGAATCGTGATTCGTGACAGCGCGCTCGATTGTGATGGGAATCGCCAATAAAGCGCTACACGAACTTCGCGCTTTGTAGCCAGTTTGCGAGAAACTGAAAAGTCAGGGTCACTCCATAAAAGAAAATGCAGTTGGCCTCTAAACTGATCCAGCCCGTGAACTAAGTCGTGAAGTCGCCGTTTTGTCCGATGTCACTAATTCTCGGTGAATACACTTGTCACTGTTTACTACGGCGACGTCCATTGTGCTGTTTGGGGAATCGGCATTATTGTGTCACTATGCCGTCGACGGCTGACCTTGGCGACTTTTCTCGGCGCCGAGCCGACGGCCGGTTTGGCTATTGTTGTAACATGTCTTACGGTCCCCCGTGTCCGTGTAGGCTGTTTAGGTCGACCTGTTGGTTGTTCCATTTGTCGAGAGCCAAGCGCCCATAAGACCATTAAGCTCATGATCGTCTCGTGCTGGTGTGTAGTTTTCGTTCGTCGTTCTATAACCAAATGGTACCGACACGCCTGACCGCAGCCACTGACGCTAATGAATTCCGAGAACGAGTACACCGGAGTATGATTGGGCTGTGAAGAACATCCCTCAGCTATTCAGTTTACGATGCTGTAATAAAACCGATGTTTACCGGTGGGTTAGGTTACCAGATGGCTGTGGATAGGTCCGGTGCCTCGCACAGCACTCTGCGGCCTCAAACGAATACAGCTGCGCGCTGCGTGTGCACCGGATAGGAGCGGCCTTTTAAGGTGACCCGGTCGAATTCCTGCGAGCGCAGGCAGCAGCTGAGCCTGCTGCTGTGCCTCGGCAGCTGATTGGCTGTCGGTGGCTGTGACGTCAGCGCGGCGCCGGTGGAATGTGCCCGTGGGAGGCGCCGCCCCCGGTACCTCTGCGATAGGCCGCGTGCCGCCCGACACCGCCTAATGACCGGTAATATATTCATAGACGGCCTGTGACCGACGGAAGGTCGCCCGCCGGACTGCAGGCGGGGGCGGCGCGCGGAGGGGCGGGGTGCGCCGGCGCGAAGCACGCGCCTGACACTGATCCTCCCGGCGCTGTGAGAGGACTGAGTCGGATCATCCAGAGAACATTACCTGGATTCCGCACACAGGCCCCGATGGACGTCGTGACGGCGGGGCTCCGTGTCGGCCCGGTGCTCTCCAGGCCGGCCCGGTAGCGAAGGCTGTCGGTCGACACAGCCGACCCCCGCTGTTCAATAATTCATCGCCGAGAGCTCTCCGCCCGGGCCGCCGCTGCCGCTGCTGCTGAGTTGCGGCGGGCGCGCGCGGCCGATTGCCGGACCAGATAGCCGTGCCTGGCGGCCGGACGGAGCGCGGGCCACGGAGACGGGTCGCGTGCCCCTATCGCTCGGCGGTGGGGTCGTAGAACCGCCCGCCGCGCCGGCGGCCCTGCTCGGCTGCTGGTCTTTAAAAGGAGGGACGCTCGAGGCCAGCCGTACCCGCCGCCCATTCATAACCCCGCAGTGGCCGGCCGGCCTGCCGACATAGCTGCCTTTGTGCTGAGGTCAGCTAGTAGGCCGGAAATGGACCGCCCAGTCACACACGGGCCAAGCGACCACGTGTGAACTAAACCCTGCCAGCTACCGAAGGGTTTCACGGAACATTAGTAAAATGCAATTGAAATGAATGTTCACGAACACACAAATGTCTTGAATGTTTTTGTGTAGCTATTGTGGTGTTCGTTTTGGTTAGATAAACCATCTCGTGGGAGCAAGGTCTTAGATTCGGCACACATGTGTCCCAACAATTTACCTCGGCTGCCAGTTATAGCCCGTGAGAAAGTGTTTCTCGCCTCGGAATGGCACTGATTAAGGTGTAGTTGTGCTGCGTGTAAATCGCGAAAGCGTGCCGCTGCACGTGCAGCTGGCGCACGTGCAGGCGCGCACGTGACGTGGCGTGGGAACCTGTGGAGCTCTCTCGGCTGAGCCGTTAGTGGGTCGCCAGCTGTGGGCTCCGGCGGCGAGCGGTGGACGTCGGCGACCACCGCCGGAAACGGCGTATTGTTCCCCACTGGACGTTTCAGAAATGAATCATGACTTACCCACGTTTGTTAAAGTGCTCCCGTAATGTGCTTATTGTCTGATTATCATGTGTTATTTTTAGCAGTGTAACTGGCGAAACATTTGTGGCTGAGCAGCAAATGGCTACGCTCCCCATGTGCGATATGTCGAGTCGATGCCGTGGCATCTCTTAGCCTAGCGGCCGGCCATGCTTCAACGCCCACCTACCGACGATCTCAGCCACTAGACAAACCCTGACGCACACACGTCCTCTCCCACAGGTGCACGGTGGTGCTGTACAACCCGAAGAAGAACAAGCAGTCGCACCTGCTCAACACGTCGCGGAAGCCGATCACGTCCGTGCGTTTTTCGGCCGATGGCCGGTACCTGGTGACGGGCGAGTGTGGCCACCAGCCGGCCGTGCGAGTCTGGAGCGTGCAGGACAAGGTGCTGCTACAGGAGTTCCTCGTGCACAAATATGGCATCACATGTGTGGTGAGTACCGGACGACGGGGACGGGTGCGGAGGTGGTGACGGAGAACGCCATAGTGGAAGTGTTAGGTTTATGAATTAGGCTGCCAATTTTAGAACAATCAATGTGGGGTGGCCGATTTCTTGTGCGATAAGCAAACTGCTGCAAGCGCCTGGCGTTTGGTGCGGACAGGTTCTGGGTGAGCACAGCGAGTTGTTACCCACTCCAGCGCCGTCAGAACTGTCTATCATAGGGCGTATGCCCAATTAGTGAGCACCGATTTGTTGCTGACCGCTATCACCAGCCTGCAAAGGAACGACAGGCTGACATGCTAGAAGCAGCTAACGATGCTGGAAGCTAACGCTTCGGTGCCTTGGTCCCCTCGATCATCCAGCTGCTGACAATAAGCAGGCAATTTGATGAGGAGAGCGAGTAACTGGGCGCCTTATGTCCTCAGCTCATTAGGTCACCCTACAGTCGGACCTGCGCAGTCGAACCATGAGGAGAAGGGTTGTGCTTTACCCGCTGTCTAGTTGGGACTCCGATGTATTCCTCCTCTCCAGCAGTAGAAACAACCCACCGCCTCTCTTATTGGAAAACAGCACGCGCCTGGCTGGCAGTCCTGTGTCCGAGTCTGCTCCCCCGCAGAGGGAGCATCCCTACCTTCTTCCTCACCCTGACGGTCAGCGCGTACCGTCTGTGTACCACTCTACGCATACCTGTGGAATGTGCCGTCCGGATGCCGATCACATTCAAATCAGTATACCCCTCGGACCGCGGCTGACCGGCAGAGCTGATGGATGGGCGGCGGCTGCGGGCCGACCTAGCTCTCCCGGTGGACCGCGCACTGCAAACACCGCGGTATAGCCGGCACACACAGACTCACGCACACACGCACTGCGTACCGGGAACGTTAACCAAACAGTGGACCCCGCAGCAGCGGTCAGTCGCCGACCCACCGGCCAGCCTGCGGGTCACGGCGGTGCTTTGATCGCTGTTTGCCGGAGCTGTGTTCCGGTCAGCGCCACCTGAGGCGACTGACCTCTGGTCGGCGGCCATCGAACGCCCATGTGCGGCCCTGGTGACTGAAAGTCACGGAAGGAATCCCGGGTGGTAGCGACGACTGGCTCGCAAAACAGGTTTGGGCGGACGACGATGGCGAAGTCAAATAGAATACCAGCTCTCAGCAGTGATCGGCGTGTCTTGTGCCGCCCTGTGCCCTTTTCGCTTGTAACTTGTGTCCCTAAAGAGGCGGATCTTCTATCAGCATCTTAGCGGTCGATGGTGGGCTCTCGGCGAGCGCCTCCGTTTAATGCTGTCGTTTTCGCGCGCTTGTGGCGCCGCCAAAGCGCACAGCTCCCTGTTTTTGCTTCGCTCGCGAGTCGCGACAGCTTTATGCCGTTACGGGCCTGCCTTCCTGTTCCTGGTCTCACGTCAGCCGCTGTTATCTGCCTTGCACTGTGGAAGGGTGCATTGTGAAGTGGCTGACGTGGTCACGATGGTAACCAGGGGCGTAGGCAGGGGGGGGGGCCACTGGGCCATGGCCCCCCCCCCCTTGGGCGCCGAAGGCGCCCTTTGCGATTGGAGGGCGCCGAAGGCGCCCTCCAATCGCAAATGCAATTGTGATATAATCGAATCGAAAAACAATCGCGACTGGAGGGCGCCCTCCAATCGCGAATGTGTTTACAGGGAAAATACGGATGGAGGGCGCCCTCGGAGGACGCCCATTCCAAATACGCCCTCCAAATACGGTACGGTACCTCTAACCACATTTGTAGGCTGTAGCTCTCTAAGCGTAACGGTGGTCGCCTATGTAAGCCGCTGTCCTGTAAATAAGCGCCCTCTCACCCGAAGGCGCCCTCCTGTAGGTCGCCACCCTGCTACACATTGCCGCCCTTCTGCTGATCGGCGTTCTCATAATTATTGGCGCTCTCCTACCTATTGAGCCCTCATGTGAAATTTTGAAGGCCGCCTTTCTCCCTTTTGGCACCCTCTTGTTCAGTGCCGCCCTCCTACCTATTGGTTCCCTAGTCCTTCCTGTTGAATGTTAATCGGGGCCCTTCTCCTATTGGCGCCCTCGTGTAGATCGCCGCCCTCCTAACCACTGGCACCCTCCTGTTGATCACCGCCCTCCTATCCACTGGCACCTTCCTGTTGACCAGCGCCCTCCGCACAGACGCCCTCCTGTTCGTGTCATCCTCTTGAGCAAAGGCGCCCTCCTCACCATTGCCACCCCCATTTTAATCGTCACCCTTCCGCTCATTGGCGACTTCCAGTTGATGACCGCCCTCCCACCTATTGGCGACCTCTTGTTGATCGCCACCCTCCTATTGGTGCTCTCTTGTTCCTCGCCACCCTCTTACCTGGTGGCGCCCTCCTGTTGATTGTTGATCGGCGCCCTCCTACCTATTGGTGCCCTCCTGTTGATCGCTGCCCTTCTATCCATTGGCGCCCTCCTGCTGCTCGCCAACTTCCTACCTATCGGTGCCCTACTGTCGAAACTCGGGATGTTGATCGGGGCTCTTCTACCTATTAGTGCCCTCCTGTGGATCGCAGCCCTTCTACCTATTGGCAACATCCGTTGATCGCTGCCCTCCTATCATTTATTTACTCCTTTGGCATGTTTTTCAACTTAGTCGTTCTATTGCACATAGTTGATGTCTTGCCTGTGAAAACTGCCACAAATGAACGTGCATTCAGCACAATGAATGAAGTATCTATACCTACCAAAACTATCTACGCTCTACGATGCATAAAACACGTCTTTGGTCTTAACGGATTGATCCTATTTTACGTGCATCATGGCATCTATATGGATTACGATTAAGTATTGTCAACAGGTTCGGGCGCAACAGCAGGCATCTGAAGTTTCGGTGATTGAAACTGGTTATGTGGGTACACTGTATGCATCTGTGAGAAGGCTATGAAGGCTGGTCTGAGGTAATTTGGATGATGTTTACGCATCTCGCGCTCCGGTATCAATCCGATACGGTGATCTGGTGCGTAGATATGCCACCGCCAATAAACTTTTATACATCGACACCCATGAGCCAAGCTTTCTGTACAGTTTGTGTGGCAGCGGCCCGACCAAACCTTAGGTATTTTTTACACCTTCAAATTTGGTAAAAGAGCGAGAGGAGCTTTGAACAGTGATCGTATAAAAGGCGTGCCTAAAAAGCGGAGGAAAAAGTTGTTTTCAAAAATTTCGCGCGCCTTCGGCGCAGCATTTCAAGAACACTTGACCTTTTGTGACCTGGAGTATAAAGAATACACACGATGCAAAATCAATGCAGCACGACCTATACGAGGTTACGCAAAAAAAAAAAAACTGGTGGCATGGTAAAAAACGCCTCCCAACCCCCCAACCCCCACTGAGCGATTTTTTATCTCGCGACCGTATGGCGCCCTCCTTGGGTGAGGTGGCGCCCTCCAAACCCTTGGCCCCCCCCTTCGCGATTTTCTAAATACGCCGCTGATGGTAACAGTGGTCAGTTACCCATCGGTGGCCGATCGCTGCTCAGTGCACACCCGTGACGTTTAGAACCGGTCACCAGCGACACGGGAACTTCATGACACCTCCAGGGAATGTGCTGTCTGATGATGTGATACATAGACTAATGACCATGTGAGGTGCCGCACAGGGCCAGAGGACCATTCTTTTGACCGGCATGGCTGGAAACAGTAACACTAAACACTTGCTTGGGCACCTTGCGTATTTTCTGGAGGACTGTAATGGTGAGCCGAAGTAGCCACCTGACCCCGGGGGCTGCCGGCTGCGGTCGCTGCGGTCGTGTAGTGCGGCGACACGGTCACAGAGCAGCTGACACTGAATACCCCGCCGTGACACCTGACACCTCGCCGGTCTCCGGTGTCGGCCGCCGGCCGTGACCGCCGCACCGGTGTTCTAAACACGGCCGCAGAACCCCGCCAGACATTGCCCCGCGGAACCTAGCGGTGACCCAAAACGATCACGGAACCTCGCGGGCAAGTGGCGTGCTTTCAATGGGCAGATGAGCTCGTTATGATAACCTCACAGCATCTAGCCGGGACGCCGGGTGCTTCACCGAAGGAGCACATGGCGAGCATGTTTGGTAGCGTGTCTGAGTGTCTGTCTCCAGTCCAGGGAAAGTGGCCGCCTGCACTCACAAGCCAGACGGCGCGTCAGATGTGGAGACTGGGTGATATGCCTCAGACGGTGACACTACCGCCATCATCTGCAGACTGCAGCCATCGCTCGGATGCGACACAGTCACCTCGGGTCACGGCTCAGTCTAGCTGCCCGCCCCACTGGGTTCAGACCGACTCCGTACTTCCCCGTGGTGTAACAATTCCTGGGACGACCGGCGTCTCACACTTCCGTGAGTGTAAATACTGTGCCACCGCTGACAATGGGTCATTCAGTGATGAACTCGTCGCCTTTTGCCTCGGTAATTGGTCCATGGCCATTGGCCATCACCCTTGTTGTGACTCTGTTCAGTGCAGTCGCCAACCCCGGCCACTACCCCATGACCTGGTGGGAAACGGGACGGCTCCCAGGCGTCGCGCTGTCACCAGTCGGAAAAGCTGCTGTTTGGTAGTTCCGAGCGTTTACGGCGGCAAAATTCCACCGCTCAAGGCAGAGTCGTTGTGACGAGCGGACGATCGACAGGCTATGGATTGTCGACTGACTGCGCTTAGCTGTGAGGCAACTGCAAGATATGGCCGCTGTCAGTACACCCCATCTAATAATTGTAGACGTGCCGTTCTATGTTGTTTCACCACCACACACCGATGGCCTACGATCAGCCTTTTACTGGCCAGGAATGACTCGGCCAGACTGACCGATTACCGTCGACTACCATTATCGCAGAGATTCGGGCAGTGATTTGCGCGACTTTCGCCGTTTATCCTGCCACCGGGTGGTTCAATCCATTTCACGACCACGGTGGTTCGACCATCGCACAGAGGGGCCGTTGACCAGTTTAGGGCGAATTTATTCGTAGCGCTGTTAATATTTCTCAATATGTTTTTCAAATGGTTTAAA